TTTTTTTTTCTTCCCAGATTAAGTTATCTAAGTCTTTCTTGTTCCTCCAGCTCTCTGCTAGGTGCTCTAATTTGTTTGCATATTTTCTGAATAATGGAATTCAAAACTGAATTCTCTGCTCTGGTGTAACGTTTACGTTCAGAGGCAGTGGATTAACTACTGACACTTAGAGAAAAGAAACTCCACCCTGTAACATTATCTGATATTTCCCAACATTTTTATGTTTATGTTAAAATTCTTCAAAAGCTTCCAAATTCTTGTCTTGCTCCTTCTTGTCAATTACTGACATTTTTGTGTTTGCATATTTGAGTTCTACCCTAAATACTTCAAATATTTCGAAAGTGAGTGTTTTTCAAACAGGAATTGTTGCTACATTACATGTTGGAGTTTTACACTGGTCATTGTATGTGTGTTTCTGGGCTTCAGTAAAACCCATCTTCCAAAGGATTAGAGCTATATCTAGACAGATTCTGTAAAAACTGCCTTGGAAGGCCCTGTCTTATTTTACTTTCCTTCCTTGGCTTCTTTCTGAGATGATGCTGTTTACTTCACACTGTTACTTAGTCTTGAAATCTCATTTGCTTTTATATTTAGTGTTCTTATAAATTCAGGGTCAGGCTTTTCTAATAAACAATATAAAATTTGCTGCATACTAATCACAGCTAACACTAATTCACAGTAACTTCAATCTGTTGTGTCAGTCCTTGTCACACGTGAGATTATTTCTGTTTTAGTAAGGAAGGGTGCCTTATCTTGCTGACTGATATAATTCTAATTGCTGTTTCACCGATAACTGATGATAATGGACAATAAGGTACATGTTTTCATCTTTAAATATTATTCAAGTTAAACAGGATTGCACGTGCTTGGGAGGAAAGGTTTAGCATTCAAAGTAGGAAAAATAATCCAAAATCAAGAAAATGAAAGTAATTGATTATTACTGCTGCTTTCGCCTGAGCATATTGAATATACTACTTTTATGTCTTTCAGGAAATTGCAAGTGAAATAGACAGAATATGTGAGATGGGAGAGGTGATGAGAAAAGCTATCCAAGTTGATGATGATGAGTTCTTCAAAGTTCAGGAGAAATTAGCTCAGTTGGAGGTAAGAACAGACACAGTTACGAAGGGTAGATGAAGCTTTGGGAGCCTCTAGATTTACTCTGGGAGTAAGACTTACTTTGGGAGCCTCTTAGACTTTCTATGTTTGCATGTGTCAAAGATTTATGAGAATCAAACATTTGGGGGTGGGGTCAGGAAAAGCAGGCGATCTGTTTATTTTCAAGTTCTTGGTGTTTGTATTATATAAACAAAGCCAGAAGCAAAAGATAAGCTTTAAATGATGTGGTTCCCTTCTTGCTAGCGCTGTATTAATGCTTGTTACAAAATCAGTGTTTTACTTAGCTGTGAAGGAGTGGGGCTACTTAAAGATTATAATCATTTAATTGTGAATTAGCTCATTTCTATTTCAGCAAAAATGTTGATTTTGCAGCTTGAAAACAAAGAGCTGCGTGAACTATTGTCAATCAGCAAGGAATCTTTTGAGGTGGGAAGAGAAGATCTGCCCGACTGTGAAGCTTAGGCCACAAAATAACCTTATCTCCAAATCTCGACTTCAGAGACTATTATGAAATTACCCTACAAGGATGGGGG